AAACGCCCAACAGATAACAAATTGCAATGAATATTGGGAATCAAGAGTGCATGAGACAGGGGTAAAGAAGGAGTAAGATGGATGGTACCTTCACCGGTAACTGGGAAAGGTAAACCATTAGCACTAGTAATATATGGGTCACGAGGGTTATGCGACAACTCATCAAACATTTTATCATTATAAGTAATATGATCAGAAGCACCAGTGTCAATTATCCAAGTAGTAGAACCCATACCTGGCATAGTATCAGAAGCACACAAATTTGCAGATGGAGTCGGAGGATGGGCCTCATCAGGAGTCACAGTGTAAGTGGCCTTGGGACCATACATACGAGCTTTGTAGTCAACAAACCAATCAGGGTAACCATGCTCCTTAAAACACTTCTCAGAGTAATGATCCCCATTACAATGGCGGCACTTAGGCGGACCTTCAAGAGGGCTAGAGGTGGAGGCAGAAGGACGAAACCCAGCAGAAGATCCAAACTTTTTTGACGGTGGGCGACCGGTCGCGACTTGCGGGGCGACCGGTCGGTGACGTGCTGGATCCATCTTAAGAGCCAACGATCCTCCTCCAAGCATAGCGGACTGACGGGTATCTTCCTCCATGACGATGACATAGGCTTCGAGAGGGGTTGGAACAGGACTAAGAGCAAGAATACGGCTACGAACACCATCATACGGTGGATCTAGCCCACCAAGAAAATCATAAACTCGATCGGCTTCAATTTCTTTCAGACGACGAGCCCCATCAGTAGAACAATTAAACTCATGCGGACGCAGACAATCAATCTCTTGCCAGATAGCATGAAGTTTTTCATAGAACACTTTCACAGATTCACCATTCTGACCTATAAGTATGGATTGCCGTCGGAGTTGAAACAAACGAGAACTATTCTGAGTCACAGTATAGGTCTTCCGAGCAGCCTCCCATATATCAAAAGCAGTATAACCATGTTCGAACAAGGCACAAACTGGTTTAGTCATGGAATTTAGAAGCCATGACTGCACCAGACAATTATCTTCCTCCCATTCGGCATAGGCAGCGGAATCTTGAGACGGAGCAGGCTTCTTCCCATTGATCCAACTTGCCATACGACGACTAGTAATCGTAATACGCGCACCACGAGACCAAGAGGCATAATTGGAGCCATCCAATTTGTCAGATGTAATCAGGGTAGAGTAATCACGCGAGGGACGTGCCTCCTTCGGTGTAGATGCACTA